GTTTCTCTGTCGTCATCTGGACTAGGGGAGTTTGAGGCAATTCCAGTGCCCAGTGGGAAAAGTCACCACTCTCAGATAAAGTGGGATTACAGTCGCCCTGCAATAGTAGGGCTCTCTTTTTCTTCTTCCTTTTGAGGTACTGGAAGTTGGACCCAGGGCCTTACCCTAGCTCTGCAACTGCATTTCATCTCTTTTTTTTTGGTACCAGGGCTCGAACTCAGGTCCTTGTGCTTGCAAGGCAGCCGGTGGAACCACTGAGCTAAATCCCTGGCCCTCGATTCCTTTTTAAATTTTTATTCTGAGACTGGTCTCACTATTGCCAGCTCTGGACTTGAATTTGCAGTCCTCCTGCCTCAGCCTCCCTCAGCTGGGTTGGCAGTGTGCACCGCTGTACCAGGCTCCCCTTCCTTCTCCTGGGGCCTGGCATGCACTAGGCAAATGCTGTACAACTGAGCCACAGCCGCAGCCCAAAAGTGTAATTTCTTTCTTTCTTTTATTTTTGGTACCAGGCAGGGATTGAACTCAGGAGCTTGTTCTTGCGAGACAGGTGGCAGAACCACTGAGCTAAATCCCCAGCATGTTTTTTTTTTTTTTTGGTACCAGGGATTGAACTCAAACTCAGGACTTTGTGCTTTCGAGGGAGGCAGGCGGTGGAACCACTGAGCTAAATCCCTGGCCCCAAAAGTGTAATTTCTTACCTCCTCTGGCAATCAAACTCTGACTGCAAAGTGAGCCTCTTTAGCTGTTACAGCTTCTTCAGTGCCCTCTCAATTGTCTGCCTTTGTCTAATTGTTTGGGTTGAATTTCACTGAACTTATTTTTTTAAGCTTTAAAAGTTTTGAATTGAATTTGTTTTCCTAATTAATGCATAAAAACATAAAAACTGTACATATCAAAAATGGGGTACATAGAATTTTAAAACTGTTAGACGGACTGAGAGCCAGTACCCAGGTAACTGAATGAAACAGGAGCTCTAAAAATGTGTTTGTGAAAGAGTGGTAATGAGGCTCAGGATGTAGCTTAGTGGTAGAATAGTTGCCTAGCGTGCATGAGAGCCCCAGTGTGTCCAAACGGCTTGGCATGGTGGTGCACACCTGCAATGCCAGACTGTAATCAGGAGGCTGAGGCAGGAGGATCACCAGGAATTCAAGGCCACCCTGAACTACACAGTGAGACCCTGTTTCAAAAAACCAAAAAATCCTCAAAGCTTCCCGAAGGATAAACAGATTGCTGCCAGGCTTTTCGAGAACAGTATGGTAAATGAGAAATTTGACCCAGGCCTTTACTGTTCTGAAGAAAATCATTCATGGCTGTGACTTCTAGTCCTACCCCAACTGTTCAATCGGAGTGGGAGTGAAGACATTTCCCCCAAACACGTTAGCAGTCACTCCCCACGCGCCTAGCACATGTTAGACCCTGGCTTGACCCCTAGTACCAGAAAACAAGAAAAAAGCATCAAACTTTCAGGTTTCCCACGCATTTGCCTGCGCTCCTTGGCAGTGTGATGGTGCTCTCTCCAGTGAAACTTCAAATTCTTTATCTTTCTTTCTCAAGTTCTTCCTTTGTGTGCAGCATTTTGTTTGCTTGCAAACCCATCAGCCCCCTGGGAATTGGCTGTTAGCTCTGTCCACTCTTCTCTTGCTTTGTCATCTCACTGTATTCACTGGTAGCAGGGCCTGATATATTGGAGAAAACACTGCATTTGGTCATTTATATTTCCCCAGACTTTTGGTGGTGTTTACTTTTTTCTGAAGAGAAGTTAACGTTTTTATAGAGTCAGATAATTTCTGGTTTCTATGCCATATTAGGAAATACATTTCCCTCTACCAGATTATAAATATCTTCACTCATCTTCATATTCCATAAACTGGGGTGAAGAGAGAGTTGACAGGAGAATCGCAGATTCACCAAATGAGAGCTAGAAGAGGCCCTGGGGGTGGTGATCGCATGAGCAGGGCGTCGGATGCTTCTGTCCTGCTCAGTATTTGAACCTGGAGCCTCGAGGGCCAAGCGCGCCCTGCACCTGCGGAGCCCCACAGCGCCCAGCTGCTGAATGGAGTGCATGGTGAATTCCTGGCCTTGGGCATGGAAGCCAGCGCCTTCACATGCAGCGAGCCACACTCCAACCCTTTTTATTCTGTAGTTTGAGACAGGGTTTTGTCCAGTCATTAGGTTGCCCAGGCTGGGCTCAAACTTTCCACCCTCCTGCTGTGGAGAATTCTGACGGTTCCAGGCAGCAGGCTTAGGATTTTGGAGGAAGAAAGCAGGAAAAAGATAGAAGGCCAAAAGCCTTAGGGGCATGTGGCTCAGCTCACGGAGAGGCCGGGCTGTGGGCGAGGATGTCTGGAAGTGGGTGAACTGGAAATCTCGTGTACCGACACTCAAGCCTGGACAGCAGCACCGCATGGCCAGTGGCAGGCCGGGCAAGTGTGCGTGTGACAGCAGGAGAGCTACAGAGTCGAGCGGATGGCAGGTGAGCGCAGGGGCCTTGCTGCCCGGGCTATTCTGCTGTCCTCACTCGTTTCTTGCTGCAGAGCGTTTCTGTGCACTTCCTAAGGCTCTGCAAGAATCGTGCAGGGCAAGCTATGGCCGCTCATGCTCCAAACGAGATCACGAGCCCCGCATCGCGGGTGCTGGGACCCAGATGAGGTGGCCCCTCGAGCCCTCGGGCCCACTGCGAATAAGAGGCCCTCACCATGCGCTGGCCACAGCCACTCTCACTGTCCCGCGGTGGCTCTCATTCTAACTTCATCCTGAGCAGCGGAGTCACAGATCGAGTGGTTTTCCTTCGATGGCACCAGGGGTGCTTGGAGAACCGGCTCCACCAAGCTGTAAACAAATGGGGCCGGCCTGGCTTCACGTCCTGATGTTGTCTCAGACCCCTCACTCCTGTAAACTCCACGGCAGCCTCACCAGCTGAGAACCAGTCAGCCCAGTTTGTGAGAAACAGGAGGGACACAGGATTTGACCTGGCTCACATGGCTGCTGAGGTGTTTATTTTTGTTTTGTTTGAGGTTTCATTTTTGCTTTTTGAGACAGGGTCTCTCTGCATAGCCCGGGCTGGCCTCGAATTTGCAGTCTGGCTCCATGTCACATACTGAGCTGCCTCGCTACAGAAGGAGTAGTCTTTGGTGACAAAGAGCCTTTCTCGAAATTGGCTTTGCATGTCAGAGCTATTTCCTTTGAGATTTTACACACTAATCCAGGCATATCTTCTGATTGGGTGGGGGGGTTGTTTTGAAAAAAGGTCTTGCTCTATAGTCCAGGTTGGCCCGAAAGTCCCCATGTAGCCCAGGGGGCTTCCACTTGCAATCCTCCTGCCTCAGCCTCCCAAGTGCTGAGATTATAGATGAGTGCCACCACACCCAGCAATGATCTAATATTTTTAAACATTCAGTCTTTCATCATAAAATATATTTCTTCTCCCTTTATTTATTTTTATGGGGGTTTTTTTATACAGGTTCTCATTATGTAGTTCAGGCTGGCCTTGAACTTGCAACAATTCTCCTGCCTCAGCCTCCCAAGTGCTGAGATTACAGATGTGTGTCACCACACCCAGCAATGATCTAATATTTTTAAACATCCAATCTTCCATCATAAAATATTTCTCCCTTTATTTATTTTTATGGGTTTTTTTTTTTTTTTTGATACAGGTTCTCATCATGTAGTTCAGACTGGCCTTGAACTTGCAATAATCCTCCTGCCTCAGCCTCCCAAGTGCTGTGATTACAGGTGTGTGCCACCATGCCTGGCTTTCTCACCATATAAAGTGAGTTTTGGGGGATGGAACAATCTTCATGAGCTTGAACCACCCTGTGTCCTTGTCTCATTACTGAAGAGTAAACAAGTAAAATTTAGCTGGAGATAAAAAAACCAATATACTTGGGTCCCTCCCCAAATTGCCACTGCCCTACCCCCAGATTCTGTGCCTTTGCATGGACTCTGCTGCTTGGGTCCCACCGCCCCAGGGACATTGTGTTTGCACAGTGAAATCAGAAGTGTGCACTGCCCAGCCCCAGGTGTTACTTGTGTCCTCGGAGCTTCAGTGACCTCCGGCCTGAGCACCGGTGTCTCGACACTGGCTGAGGGTTACACATCCTCAGAGATGAGCACCAGCTGTTCCCACACCCAGCTCTCTGCAACGAGAGGATTTGTTTTCCAGTGCTGGGGCGCTGGAACCCAGGGCTTGTGCTTGCAAGGCTCTATCTCTGAGCTACACCCCAGCCCCAAGAAACTGCTTCATAACTGAGAATCAGCCATGTCCTGAGCACTAGGCCAAAGAGCTTCCTGGTATTCTGAACAAATTGGAAGGATGGGCCGGCTGGGCAGCCCGGGAGCACAGGTTTCCACTGCTACGTGAGTTAGTGCCATATTCATTTATTTATGAGACAGGGTGTTGCTGTGTAGTCCAGGCTGGCCCTGAATTCACAACGAGCCTCCTGCCTCAGCCTCCCGAGTGCTGGGATGTCAGGTGTGCACCTAGAATAATTTCTAAAGTTATAAATTGAGTTGGGGTTCAGTCCTCAGTACCAAACCAAACCAAACCAAAGACCCAAAATAAATCCAGTTGGGGGTATAGCTCAGTGGTGGAGTGTTTGTCTAGCAAGTGTAAGGCCCTGGGTTCGATTCCTGACACTAAAAAAGTAAAAATAAAGTTATGAATTTACAAGACTTCAGGAACCCATTTCAATATTTTGGAAAAGGAAATTATGATACAAAATACATGGCACACTATCTTACATAATATAAATGAATATATGAATTATTTTATTTTTTTACTAATTCACAAATGTATGTACAATAGGATTAAAATATTAGGGTCGGAGATTTAGCTCAGTGGTGCTGCTCCTGCCTCACAAGCGCAAGGTCCTGAGTTTGATCCCTGGTACCAAAAAAAAAAACAGATTAAAATATTAAACAGTTGTGTGCCAGGCATGGAGGTGCACACCTATAATCCTAGCTACTCAGGAGCCTGAGGCAGGAGGGTCAAAAGTTGGAGGCCGGGCTTAGGGAGACCCTGTCTCAAAATAAAATAGAAAAAGGGCACAGTATTGTAAGTCCATCCATGTTCTACTGAGTATTTCATCCCTTTTTTTTGAGACAAGTTCTATGTAGTCCAGGCTGGCCTCGAACTCAGGACACAGGCCTATATCGCCGCCGTTATTCCCTTTTATAGTTGAATAAAACCCCACTGTTCAGCAATACCACGCTTTTTAAAATCCACTTCTCAATTGATGGAGCTCTGAGTGTTTGCGCTTCTGGGCGCTCGTGAATAACGCCGGTTTGATCATTCACGGTGGCCCGTGCTCCTGTGCACGCGCGTGTGGGCACTCCCCTAGCAGTGTGCCTGCAGAGGGGCACGGTTGCTAGCCAACACTGCCCGGGGGTTACTGGAACGTTCTCCCCTCGCCTGCGCCTGCGCTGTGCATGCATGCTCCGCGGCTCTCCGCGCCCCCTTCCTCTCGCTGCTGCTCCTGTCTGCTTCTTACCGAGCTGGGGAAAGCATCACACATAGGAAAGCAGAAAACCCTGGCCTGGTTGGGTCAGCAGCCCCGTGAGAGAAGAGATTTTCCTTCCGAGTTCCGGCCTGCGGGTGTCTGCGGGCCGGCTTAGGCGTCTGCGCCTCCAAAGGAGGCTGCTGCAGAGACACCCGCTCATCCCACGGCGCCTTACGTTTGTCTTTTGTTCCTTTACTTTTGAGACAAAGTCTCCGTATGTAGCCCAGGCTGGCCTCGAAGTCCAGGCGATCCTCCTGCCTTGGCCTCCCGAGTGCTGGGATTAGGGCCGTGGCGCTCCTCGCGTGACTCACGCCCAGTGTACGCCCCACCTCCCAGGCCTCTGCCGTGCAAACACAGAAGCACGAGCATGCACGAGTGCTGTGGGGGTCGGGGCGCCGGGTCCCGGTTTGCTCACCGGGCGTCAGTAGCAGGATCGCGTGACTCAGACACCCAGACGCCTCGGCGCGCTTCACGGGGCCCTGCAGTTCCCGCGCTTCCCGGCAGGGGGCGACGCCGCGTTGGGCCTGCGCCGCCCGCGCCCCCTGCTGGCCAAGCGCTTCCGGCCTTTGCGAGACGCGGGTGTGTTAGGCCGTCCTGTCCGAACATTTCCCCTCCGCGCTCCAAGGAAGTGCGACTGAGGGCGAAAGCAGGTGTGGGGCTCCGGTGGCGTCCTCGCGCTCCCGGAGATGCGCGCGCGGCTCCTGGCGGCGGCGTTCAAAGACCCAGCGTGCGGAAGGCGTCGCGCAGGTCGTCGACCTCGTAGAGCGGCTGCGGGGACGGGGACAGGGCCTGTGAGCGCGGGCGGCCGGCGGGGCCGGGGGCTCCCGGGGCAGCGGGCGAGGGGGTTGGGAGGGGACGCGGCCCGGACGGGGGACGGGTGCGGGCGCTGCTCACCAGCAGGATGCGCCGCAGCTGCCTGGACAGGCGAACGGAGTTCTCGTGCAGCCCCTCCCAGGCCTTGAACGTTCTCTCGTGGTTCTCCACGAAGGTGTTCCAGCAGTAGAAGTAGTCTGAGGGGCGGGCGGGACTCATCAGGCCCGCGGGAAGCGCCCCCCACCCAGTACTGCAAATAATGCAAACCCAGCGCCCGGGAGGAGGGTCGCAAGTTTGAGCCCAGCCCAGGCAGCCTAGCAAGGCCCTGTCCCAGCCCGTGAGGTCCCGCCCCCCTACCTTTGAAGGTCATGATTGCTATCTGCACACCCGCGCGGTGCAGCCGCCGAAGCCCCTCGGGCTCGGCCTTGCGGTCCTCGCAGAAGTACAGGCGTGCCGTGAAGATGCGAAGGCTGAGGTTCGGGTTCCCGCGCAGGAAGTCGGCCACGTGCCGCGCGCAGTCATAGCAGGGGCTCCAGGACGTGAACCAGGTGACGCGGTAGCAGCGGCCCGGGTCCAGGTCCCAGTCGGAGATGTAGCGCAGGAACAGCAACTCCACGTGGCAGCCGGACTGTGGGGCGGCGGGGCCTGGCGTGAGCAGGGGACTCGAACCCGCAGCTCCCCGCGCGGTCTGCCGTGGAACCGCACGCGGTCACCAGGGGGCGCCAGAGCCCGCGAGGACCCCGGTGGGTCTGGGATGACAACTGCAGAGCAAGAGCCCAGGCCACCTCCGAGGCAGCTGCTTCTCCGGCCAGGACAGGAAGGCCTGGCTGGTTTTCCAGCTTCTCTCCTACTAGACTGACAAAGTTCCAGCCCTCGGGTCTGCCTCCGCCCCCGGCAATGAGCCTGCTGTGTGCCCTAAGGTCAGGGACAGCGCTGCCAGCCCAGAGCCGTGAGGACCAGGTGAGCTACTCAGCACAAACCTAGGCGAAGAAAATCACAGAGTAACAGCCAGGGACTCGAGCCCCACCCTTCCCTGGCTTCCAGGGGCGCTGGGCGGCACCGCAGGGATGGGGTGGAGTCCTGGAAAAGCCGCCGTTTTCTCAGGCAGCTGAAAGGCTGGTTTCATTAACTGATCAGCCCTGGCTCCTCAGTTTTCCAGCCTCACCATGTTGAACACATTCTCTGCCTATGGTCTATGCGAATGGGAAGAAGCAGAAATCATCTGGAAAACAGAACTGAACCAGAACTGAGTCACTGTAACTTTTCTTTCTTTCTTTTTTTTTTTTTTTTTTT